TCGGCCGAGACAAAAGAAAATTAATTTAAATCTAGTTATCCAATATAACAATCAAATGATCACCCAAAAACAATACATAAAATTTTTAGGAGTATATATAGACGAACATTTGTCATGGAAGGAACATATTAATTATATTTGCAATAAAATCGCCAAGTCTGTTGGAATTATTTACCGATCACGATATCTACTGTCATCCGCAACAAGATTATCCTTGTACTACACACTTATATATCCCTATCTTACTTATTGTAATATTGTATGGTCTTCCACTTATGTAACCAACCTCAATAGAATTCTCCTTTTACAAAAACGAGCTGCACGTATTCTTACAAATTCCGAATACCGTGCACACTCTGATCCACTTTTTAAACAACTCAAAATATTGGATATATTTAAGCTAAATACATTTCACATTGGCAAGTTTATGTTTTTATATCATCATTGCATGTTGCCAACATGCTTTGATAATCTGTTTACAATAAACAATCAAATACATGGTTATAACACCAGATCTGCCGGTAACTTTTGATCTCATGCTTGTCGAACTAATATTAAGCAGTTCACCATCTTATACTCAGGACCGAATATTTGGAATTCTTTACCTACAAATATAACTGCGATAAACACAATCTCGTCTTTCAAGATGCAACTTCGTAATTTTCTGCTTAACGAATAAGGAACAGCTAACTCTGATCAATATGCTACGACCATGTTTTATCGAATATTCAGTAACAATATATAAAATTATTGGAAAATCTATTATATATTTTCGTAAATTTTCTCTCTTATTATAAACTTCATTATGTTTCAATTTCATTATATGTGTCTGTAACTTAATTTCAATTTCATATTATATATGTCTGTAACCCTAAATTATACCGATTAATTAAATATTTAACTTTGAATTTTTGAGATGAGGTGGCCTCTTTACACAAGCTCTAAGCTTCTTGAGGTCTCCTCGCCGACTTTATTTTATTAATATCTTGTAAATAGCTAACAGTCTCTCTTTTTTTTTGGCAAATAAATCAATCAATCTAATTTCATGTCCACAATTTTCAACGATTATAAACAGGATTTATGTTTCCGTACCCCGGTTCCAGAGGCTCTTTAATGTGTCTGCTATTGAAATATTTGCTGTATATATAGTAGCATGAGTTTTTTACTTATATAGTTATATTAATATAGTCATTTGACTAATTTCGAGAGTCATTTTATATCTAGCAAGGTTCTACAACGGTAAAAATAGTTTCATGAATCTTACCTGAAAGAATAGTTAATCTTTCTTAATAGTGAATACTTGCAAGCATCAACAAACGGAACAAAACGGCACTTTTCCTCCACATCGTAAAACAAGTGAAGTGCGAGCGAGGGAAAGATTTTCTATCTCAGGTTGGTCAGTGGCAATGACCATGGAGATTTCGGACCAGTTGTCATGGAAATGGCGTAAGCGCCGCCATGTTTTTCATGCCGAGCAGGTCCTCCAGTAATGTAGTATAGCTCATATTGGGTGTAAATAGCTGGGCGGAATTAGGACCCTCGGCCTTCCGCGCCGTTGTCTCGGGGATTAGAAATGCAAATTATTAAAGAACAGTACGCTATATCTCATTATAGCCGCTGACTTATGCTGAAATTTTGCACACCGTATTATACTGCAAAAGTCTTGCATTATACCAAAATTTAAATCTGTAATGCCAAAACAGATTTATCGAAGAAAACGAATTTTTGCGTTTTCATAGAAACAGCAATCCAAATTTGTTTATATTCTGCTTATATAGCGTTAGTCATGAATAGGTCACTGTGCTCCTTTTCCAACTACACAGAGCATTAGGCTATTTTAGAGTGAATTTCATACGCGTGCGTTGCCATAGCAACGAACTGTGTGTTGCCAAAACTAACATAATTGAAATAAGAAATATTAAAACAGATGAACATCCTGAAATCTTAGTAATGTAGCAATTATGGCGTTCCGTTCCGGTCAAAATTATTTCGAGTCAATATGTAATATTCAATCATCATATCAACGGTCATGTTATAACTATCATTACAATATAGTCATTCACCGTATATGAGCTGTTCTGCAATCTGATTGGTTGAATTACTAGCCGTATATCAGCTAATATACGGCGAGTAGCGAAAAACAAGATGGCGGTCCAAGAACTACATGAGTTTGGCGAAGCAGAAAAAATGAAAATATTCGCTTTGAGAAAGATAATAGTACAAGGAAAAACTCTCAAAAAGGTTTGACAGGTTGGCAAAATACATTTATTACATAGAAATTAGTTTAAATACAAGTTTTTTAAATAATTAATACTGAAACAACAGCGAAAAAAACATGTTCATTGAGAATATAAATTGTTCAGAAAAGTTTGCAACGAAAGACAAATGAATTTGCAATTGCAGTCAACAAGCACTTACTATACTACCAAACATCTGTATAAGATATCTGAGCTTTTCTGTGAGATATACCGGTTCTAAAACCATTTCTTTCACTTCGTCTTCGAGTTGTAAAACAAAAGTATTTCAAATTTTCAAGGACAAGCGGTTTTTGGCCGAACAAATTGTCAAGACATTGTAACAGAGGATAATTAATTATTCCTTCAGTTAATGGCTATTAGACTATATTATAATACAATTATACCATTCGCTCTCGTCGTATATGGCTGATGGTATAATTGTTAAATATAACGTTGAAATATCAAGATAAAATTAAACTCAAAAACTAAAAAAAAAAATAAAACGAAAGTTTAAAGCATATACTTGAAAAATGCAAAATACATGTCAAACCTCAAAGGATATACATGAAAACTGAACGCAGGTCCTAACTTCTATTTATAAAGCGAAACTCCCAAATGATAAGTCAAAGCCGCGGCCTTACAAATAATTGCTGCCGTAGGCAGCACACTATTCTTGACAACTGAATTTGACGTTATGACTCGTGCCAGTTTCCTTGACCGAGTTATAACGATGCAGCTTGATTCAAAATATAGAAGAAATTTGGATTTCTGTCAGTCGGTAATTGCTCGTAAGTCGCCGTTAAGCTCTCGTTCTGTACTTTCTGCCATGATGAAAAATATAAAAAACGATAATTTCTTTACAAATAAAAGACAGTAATTTCGTTAGAAAATTATTTTTTTCAGGTACTTTTTAGCCAATTATTATTATACGATGTTGACAATGTTTACTCAATACTTATTAGTAATAAGTTTATACTGACCGTTTAAATATCATGACAGAATGATGCAGGCATGTCCAATGTTGGCAAATGTTGTTATGATTTACGAAGAAAAACATGAAAATGATTGAAGACTTGATATTAAGGCTCTGCTTACAGGCACAGGGTATATAACTATTGACTCAACCACGAAGAAAAACATCGAAATGACATATAGTGTTGTATAATGTCGTATAGTCTTGTATAACGTTATATAAGTGTTGTTTAGTCTCTATAGTCTTGTATAATAGTTGTCTATAGTGTAGTATAGTATACAAATATAAATGAATGTTTATGAGTGCAATGGTAAGAATATTTTCATGAGGTGAAAGATAGAATGTTTCTTTCGACGAGGCGACAGCCGAGTTGAATGGAACATTCCATCTTTCACCGAATGAAAATATTCTTACCATTGCAGGAATAGAAACATTCATTATTTGTTTTTTATAATACTAAAATAGACTAATATTAAAAGGTTTACTGTAAGCTCCCGCCATTTTGACTGGTCGTATTTGCATTAAATCCCATTTACTGAGTTTCGAATATCGGGTTAAAATAAACTGCGATCACCGTACGAGAAACATTTTGACAGATGCGATTTATAGAAAACACAAAGAGTGCAATGGAATAAAACGTATAGTACAATTGCACTCGCAAGAGTGCAATGGAACGTATTCCATTGCACTCTTAGGAAATATAATTTTCTATTCAATATCATGCACGTGACCATAAGCAGCCAATTAAACGATCAGAATTATTAAGGTATTATATAATGTTGTATAGTCTTGCATAGTGTAACATGGTCTTGTATGACGTTGTATAGTGCCGTAAATTAAGTGTCTTATAGCCTTATATATTGTTGTATAGTCTTGTATAACGTTGTATCGTGTCGTATGGTGCCGTATACCCTTATTAATTATAGTGTTGTATAATGTGGTATAATGTTACATAGTATCGTTTAGTATCATATAGCCTTATATAGTGTTGTATAGTCTTGTATAACATTGTATAGTGTTGTATAACTTTATACAATGTCGTATAGTCTTGTATAATTAACATTGTATAGTATCGTATAGTCTTATATAGTATCGTATAGTGTTGCATAACGTTGTGTAGTGTTGTATAGTCTGTCATGTACAGCCTAGTCCCAGACTCTCTCTACTCGCTGCTTTGATATATTTAAAAAAGTCTTAAAAGTTTTATGCCTGGGTGTGCTGTGCGCAACGCTTCAGCGAGAGAGCCTAGCAGATTTCGGTAAAATGGTCCCTGGCCTGGTTACCAAGCATACCGCATTTGTAAATAGAAAATGTTATGGAAATTTGAAATTCCTTTGCGTTTATAATTAAGTCATTAGTCTTGCTCTAATGCTCTCGAATTGAAACAATTAAATAAGCTACGTTCCGCTACCATACGGTCAGAATGGAATAACGGGCTAAGTATGACTCGTATTTACTAAAATCATAGATTAAGGAATGAATAGATGGCTCACTCCTTTGATGTTTTTGACGCTGCCGGCGCCCACGCATGTTCTTGCCAGAGTAATGGCGGCCTAGCAAGTAACTGTAGTAAAATGCATTGTAAAATTGACATCCGTGCTATTAAATCCTGTATTTTTCCGCTTTTGGCGGGTTTATTAGAAAGATAAATCAGAATTATAAAAATACAGAATTTAGTAGCACCGATGTCAATTTTACAATGCATTTTACTACAGTTACTTGCTAGGCCGGAAAGTGGAGTTGAAGAAACGCACATCAGTGACCACTTTCTGGTTTATTCAATATTAAAGCTTAAATTGCCTAAGAAATTACCTGATTACATGGTCATAAGAAGTTTTAAGAATTATTCTTCTGAAGCGTTTAAAAATGATCTAGAACAGCTGATTTGGCAAGAAAATCCAATTGACCAGGGCGTTAACCAGCGACTGGACAATTTTAATAAGAAATTTCTAAGTGTATTAGATATGCATGCCCCGATAAAGACTGTTAAGATTAAACGTCGCTTGTGCCCTTTTGTTGACCAGGAAATTGTTCAACTTATGAAAAAAAGAAATGCGCTGCATAAACTTGCCCGCCAAACCCTGCAGGCCTTGGACTGGGACAGATATCGTTCATGTAGAAATCAAATTAAAAGAAAATTGAGAGAATCCGAGAGAAAATTTGTGTATAAAAGAATTAATGACAAAAATAGCAACAACAACTCCCTTTGGAAAACTGTAAGAGAATGTATTCCTAGAAATGAAAAACACGTTTAACTTATTCTGGGAATGTCGTTGAAGTAGCGAACAAATTTAATGAATACTTTTCTTCAGTCGGAGCAAAAGCGGCAGAAGAATCCAAAGCGTTGATTACTTCATATGGTCTTACATCGACTCATCCAGAGATACCACATAAATTTAGTGCAGAAATTGACAAGTTTCATTTTCACCCTGTGTCCTGTGACGTGATTCGTAAAATTGTGTGTTCTTTTCCATCCAATAAGTCCCCTGGACCAGATAAAGTTTCTGTGAAAGTGATCAAAGATGCCCTACCATACATTCTTCAACCTCTTACGGATATTGTTAACTGCTCTTTAAGAGAATCTTTGTTTCCCAGCGCCTGGAAGTTGTCAGAAGTTATTCCCCTATTAAAAGAAGGGGATCACGAAATTGCTAAAAATAATCGGCCAATTTCCTTGCTGCATCAAAGATCTGCGAGCGTGTAGTTTTGGAACAATTTACCGCATATGTGGAACAGAAGAAATGCTTAAGCGTACACCAAAGTGGAAACAGGAAGCTGCACTCCACTGAAACATTGAATTTATTTATATCGGATAAGATCTTAAAGTCTATGGACGACAAGGAGGTCGTAGCTGTAATTCTACTAGACCTTTCTAAAGCATTTGACAGTATCGATCATGTATTGCTTCTAAAAAAGCTCCAAGTATTGGGAGTGTCCGATGACGCTTTATGTTGGTTTAAGAGTTACTTGACAGGACGACAGCAGGTTGTGCGCATTGGATCGACTGTCTCTGAAACACGCACACTCAATCATGGCGTTCCGCAGGGCTCAATTCTCGGTCCCATGTTATTCAACATATATATTAATGATTTACCTATGGTACCAAAGAATGGTAATTTGAAGTCTTACGTCGACGACTCGAAGCTACTTTTGTCATTTTCCGTCAATGAAGTGAACTCAGCGGCTGCTAAGCTTAACGAAGATCTACGGAGAGTCGTTTCTTGGTGTTCTCTAAATAGTCTGCTTATTAATCCCAATAAGACGAAATTACTTGTGTTCGCAACTCGTTATATGTTGAAACAGATACCGGCAGATTTCCATATTTTACTATTGGGGAAAAAACTGTTTCCTGTGACCTCAGCCACTGATCTAGGCGTGACACTGGATAGTGGTTTGACGTACGATGAACACGTCACAAAACTGGTTTCCTCTTGTGTCGGTAGCCTGTGTCAAATTAATAGAGCAAGGCACCTTTTTGATATGAAGACGTTAATTCTTTTAATAAACGCGTTGGTTTTTAGTAAACTCTATTACTGTTCAACCATATGGTCTAATTCATCGAAGAAAAACATTGCAAAATTGCAAAAAGTTCAGAATTTCGCAGCACGTATTGTCACGGGCACAAAAAAATTCGACCATATCACTCCATCTTTAAAACAGCTTAACTGGTTACCAGTCAATTATATGTTGCGATTCCGAGATACAGTAATGGCTTATAAATGTGTTAATGGTATGGCCCCATCATATTTATGTCGTATGTTCCAAACAAGATCACAATTACACAATTTGAACACAAGATCTTGCGAATTATTGGAAATACCTTTATATAGAACAGCGACCGGACAACGTTCTTTTCGCTACCGAGCTTCTTGTTTATGGAACAGTTTGCCAGAATGGCTAAAAGACCATAATCTTAATTTGGAACGTTTTAAAAGCGGGCTACGAAGTTATTTGGTTCAACAATTTCTCGATGAATAGAACTGAATTACATCTTTTACTGACTAAATTTTAAATTAAATAGTATTAATAAGTATTTTACCTTAAATATAACTAGCTTGATATTATATATTTTGGTGTTAATAGTATATTATATAGTTTTTAGAATATAATTTAATTAAGTAATTACTTTTTATAACTTCTGTATTGAACACTGAAAAACCCTTCTGGGAGTGTTTAACATTAATAATAATAATAATAATAATAATAATAATATAGCTCATGTTGGACGAAAAATTTCCAAATCAATTGGCATTATTTATAGATCGAGTTTCTATTTATTCAAATCAGCACTGCGAATGTTATATTTTGCACTGGTATATCCTTATCTTCAGTATTGTATCACAGTTTGGGGTTCTACGTATGCTAGCAATACTAAACGTCTTGTCGTTTTGCAAAAACGAGTGGTGCGAATAGTTGATAAACAAGGGTTTAGTGTACATACTACACCTATTTTTTGTAAATACAAATTGCTTAAATTTGAAGATATTTATTTCTTTGAGTTAGGAAAATTAATTTTTAAATACCAGCATGAGTGTCTTCCACGATGTTTTGAAAATTCATTTTTGGAAGTTAACAAAATTCATAATTATGCAACACGTAAAGTTGATACTCTCTACGTTCCTTATTGCAGGACAAATATACGTTTGTTTTCGGTTAACTATCAGGGTCCAAAATTCTACAACACATTGCCTTCTGATATTTGCAATTCTTCATGCATATATAAATTTCAGGATAAGTTAAAACGATTTTTCTTCTCTTTTTATATATAAATGTCTTATTTATATGTCATACGTAATCACTATTTTCTTTAAATGATGATATACATGCGCTATTGAGGTAGTCCAAATTTATAAGCCTCGTGGTTTCACTTTGGACGTCCTCGCCACAATTAGTTCGTAATGTTTTATTATTATGTTTAGTAGGTTAATTAAATTGTGTGATGTGTACCATATGTGTATGTCTTGCTAAGTGATGTAAATTGATATATATGTGGCAAAAATATATTCATTCATTCATTCATTCATTCAAGCACAGGCTTCAGGACAAATTCAATTTGACAACAATAGTATTCTATCTAAATACCAGTTAAAATAAAGTGTACGGCACCTCAACTGTTCAATATCTTGCTTCTACATCCAACCGTTCAATATCTTCTACAAAAGCTTCTACAAAACATTTACATATAATTATGCAAATACTGTATATTTTCAAAATCCGCCATATTTATAGGGACCAATCTTTATTACGTCTCAGAGGGGGGGTGGGGTAAAAACATCAATAAAATATAAACCCCCCCCTATATATTTTGGAAATAAAAAAAATCCCCCGTTTAACTATATACATTAAATATACCCCCCCCCCTCAATCGCACTAGGCATTTCTAGGCATCAAATTACAAGGCTTTGCGAAATTGCTAATTAAATATAATATCGAACATTTGCATTTTAAATATAAAAGCAAGATTGCGTATTTTGGCATACAATTAATTTTACGCAATTCAGCCAATTCGGCTGCCATGTAAAATCTATTAAACTATCTATCTTTTATCTACAAAACAGGAAAAAGTTATACAAAAATATCATTTTAATGAATAATATAAACATGCATGTAAAATAAAAGTGCAATAATATTTATATATTATTATAATGCATGAGTCAATATTAACCACCACCCACCCCGGGGAAAGGTGGGGTTACCATGGGGATTAGCAGCGGATTATATTAATTTTTTCGCCCATGACCCTGGGGCATTTGAAGCGTTTTGCATGTCAAATGCCCCCGGGGGTAGGCGAATTTGAACGGATTTGTTTTCGTCTGCAATGCATACGATCAGCGGTTATACACAACAAAACCAAATCGAGGCAACACCTGGCAACACATGGAAAAGACGAAACGGTTATTCTGAGCCTGGGGCTTGCAAATCACTGAAATATTTTTATTCACCGCTTCTGTTAACGTTACGTTTTAGAACTAATATACTAGAACTATACTATACTAATATAAATAAAATTTGATTATTCAAATTGGCGTTCTGTTCAATGAGTACAATAATTATGGCTTATATTTATCAAGTTAAGGTACAGAAACACTGTATTTTACTCTCTATTTCCTGTATAAATTACCATTAGCCCCCCCCCCCCGCATTGGCATTTTTAACCTTTAAATATTAAATCATTTTAGTTTTTAGGATCCAAAATGTTACATTTTGATTCATTTAGGACAAACTTGAACAAGTGTAGCCTTTAATGACTTCTTTATCATTTTGTAAATTTAGGTGTGAACATGCATAAAACGAACAGTTTTACATACTGACACTTTAAATAAGCTACCATGCACTGACGCAGTCTTGCTGCAAATTGTAGTTTTTGTATGAAGAGTCCATAAATCTGTTTCTATAATTTTTCACTATCTGTTTGTACTACTGCTATTAAAATTGAAAATGAACAGCCCCAGGTATGGGGCGGGGCTATTAGTTGAGTTTTGATGAGAAATTGGTTCCCTGGTATGGGGGCTTTTGCCTATTTTAGGAAGTTGGCCAAAACAAATCCCCACCTTTCCCCAGGGGGGGGGGTTAATATTGACTCATGCATAAAATGTAGATAAAAAATACCTTTTTCGAAACTTTTCCCACTCTGCTTTTTTTCAGGTGTAAACCATTGACTGCATGCAATCATTCCATTCAGCGGAGTCACTAAGAAGTTAAGAACCATTGAACTTCCATTGAACATAATTGTACTAGTAAACTTTCAAATATATAATTATATAAAAGACCTGAATGCTAAGAACGAGACTCCAGTCTTCTCTGTGCAAAAATTGCACACAATATTGCTTCATTAAGCCGGTTTTCC